TGAGAAGAGCTCATGGCCCCAAGGGGCCTTAGTGTTGAGGGTTTTAAACCTTGGGCTTTAAGATAAGATTGAGGGTTTTTTCTGAGGTATGACTCCTGCCAGTGAGTCTCTCGGCTTAGCCCTCCCACGGCGGGTAGAATTTTTGGCCTTTTGTGGCCGTTAGAGGAGCTGTCACTGTGTCTATAGCTAAGGAGGGTGTCAGACATCATAGTCAGAGACGAGGTGCTCAGCTTGGAGTTGGGTCGGTGGAGGGTTGCAGAAGCTCATTCACCTGGTTACCTTTTCCATTGTATTTAGATGTGGGTGGCTGCGCTGGACTAATGTTTAACTCGGAAGGTGGATCTAGTCCCAAAAAGTGGGCCCCAAGGCAAGCCAGCCTTCCCTTCTTTCTCTGGGCTTTTCCTTAGAGGCCTCCTGCCTCATTAGGAGGCGGAAATAGCCTCACAATAGTCAAAACATGCAACATTTCAACGTTATTTGTAATAGCAAATAAACCGGAAACAACCCCTGCGTCTCACACCAAGGGGCAAGGGGAGTGTGCTCAGCCCTGCAGCGCCCGCCCTGCTGCTCAGCCCCCGGAGCCAGGGACCTCAGCCCGCCTTTGCCTGTCCCGGCTCTCTGAATGCCTCGTGTGTAAAAGTGGGGGAGTGGAGTGTGGCCAACACTGTCCCCTTCTCTGGCCCCAAATTCTCATCTCTGTCCTCAAGGTGGCTGAGGGACAGGTGAGAGGACAAGCCAGCCTGCCTGCGGTCCTTCAGCCACTCAGACGTTGCGCCACACCAGCGAGCCCAGTGCCACATTCCCACAGGAGCCTGGGCAGAGCTGGTAGCCCAGGCTGGCCTTGACCTCGGTTTTCCTGTTCAGCCTCCCCGAGTGGCTGGGATTGCAGTGCGTGCCACCACACCCAGCTTTGGTTGCCCTGGAACTCTGGGGCTTTGTCTTCCAGCCTGGCACCCTCCACTCCCGTTTAAGATCCTAAAGCCCGTTGTCTGCTTTCTACCTCATTTCACCGAGGCCCAGGAAGGGCTCATCGGGTGCACCCCATGTCTACCCCACCCGTGGCTTTATTGGGAGGAATTTGGTATTTCACAAATGAAACCCCAAAACTTTCCTGCCACATTTTTCACAGTCAGTATTAGGCGAGGAGGTGCCGTAGTACATCCAGGACATCAAGCCTTTAACTGTCTTTACCTTGCTTTGGGGCTCCCAGCCAGGTGTAAGAACTTCTGCTCAATCACTGGTCATTGCTTAGAACTTCTGCTCCAGGGCGCCTTGACTCACAGTCGGGCTACACCCTGATAAACTCATCAGAAGGTGAAAAGCATGTGACTGGCCTGACCTGCCCCGCATTCTGGCCTGGCCGTGCAGTAGTACATCCTAGCACGGACTGGACTGATCCTGTAGCTGCCCGAGAGCTGCGGCTTTCTGCTGCCGCCAGCATGACAAAAGCATTGTAGTACAGACGGTGAGCCTGGGAAAGAGCCAGTTCGGCACACGCCTGTAATCCCAGCATTCTGGGAAGCTGAGGCAGGAGGATCACAAGTTTGAGCCTGGTCTGGACAACTTGCTGACTTACTTTGATCCTATCTCAAAAAAAAAAAAAAAAAAAATTAAATTAAAAAGTGCTGGGGAGGTAGCTCAGTGTAAAGGCCCTGTGTTCAATGCCCAGTACCACCAAAACAAACAAACATCAAAGCATAGTTCCTACTGAGTGCTTATCACTTAAACACAATCTTGAAGTCAAAAGTCACTGAAGCATGGTTGTCAGTGAACACCTGTGCTGGAAGAACTCTCTCCCGTCCACACAATCTGACTTAAAAACTTAGCCCCTTCCTCCCCTTCCTCAGCCCAGGCGTCCAGGCCTGGCCTCGGGCAGCCCGGTGCCCTGACAGACAGCACCTGCTTCCTATTCCCCTTCAGGTGCTGCGCCGGGATTGGCCCAGGCCGCACCTCCGTGGCTCCTTCCTTCCCTGCCTCTCCTCCCTGCCTCTGGCCCCAGAGCAGCCCTCTTCTGCCCCCAGCTGTCCCTCTGCTGCCACTGCCCCGCCTGGCCTGTCCACTGCCCGCTCCTTCCTGTACCCCTCTCTACAGCACTCTTGACCTCCTTGGCTCTGCCCTGTACCCCGAGTTCTGAGGGGCAGAGCAAGTCCCCCTGGCTCCCTGCTCCAGGCTCCTGGGTCCTGGTGACCCTCCATTCCTCTGTGGCCCCACCTCTGGCTCTGTTGGCCCGCACCCCGTGGATTGCTGCCCTCCGGGCTCCCGTAGATGGCGCCGCCTAGAGGTCACTGGTTCCTCGGGGTTCCTGAGCCCCTGAAATGTGGCCGGCCTGAGATGAGATGCAGCGTGAGACTTAGCACGGAAAAACAAGATATTCTATGAATAAGTTCATATTGAGTCCATGGGCAGAAAGAAAACAGCTGGATGTATTAAAGTACATGGGGGGCTGGGGATTTAGCTCAGCGGCAAAAGCGCCTGCCTGGCGAGTGCAAGGTCATGAGTTCAGTTCCTGGTACCGGAGAAAAACCAAAAAACCAAAAAACCAAAATAAATAAATAAATAAATAAAAATTAAAGTACACGGTTAAGATCTAAGTTCATCTCTTTCTTTTGACTTCTGAAAACGAGGCTACTGGAGAATGTATCATTAACGGCCGTGGCTCCCATTCTGCCTGCATTGGGTGATGGCGGTGGAAGCCTCCCGGATCTGCAGTCCCCACGGCTGCTTGACTGAACGGCCGCACTGCGTCGTCCCCCCGAAGGCTCAAGGGTGGGTGCAGCTCTCCCCGCTCGCCCTGGCGCTGGGCTCTCTGCTCTGGCCCAGCTCCGGCAGCGCAGGCAGGGTGCCAGTGGAGAGTTGGCCACTCATGTTCCCCTGTGACGTCCTCTGCTCAGTTTCCATATCTGTAAAATGGGCGCTTCATAGCCGTGTAGGAGTCAGAGGCAGAAGACACTTAGCTTGGTATTGGAGGAATGGCCATTCCCTTTCTGACACCCTAGGGTCAGAAGTCTATCCTGCACCTGCCCACTTCGTGATCAGTAGTTAGTTGGGTTTATTTCCTTTCTTAGTAAAGATCTTTTTGAAAATTTAAGCAGAAGGTGCTTGTTCTTGGTCTCTTTCTGCACAGTAATATTTGGGTCAGAGTGAGAAGGGGCTCAGGTGGGCAGAGAGGCCTGGGTGTTGGGTAGCAGGCTTTCTTTCCTCCCTGGGGGCCTGGATACAGATCTGCGGGTGTGCCTGCCCTGCAGAGTGGCTGGCAGTGGGTGGCCCGGGGAGCAGTGGCTGACTCAGGCAGGACTCAGGCTTTTCCACGCAGAGCTGGAAGCAAGTACTGTGGCATTTGAGTCTTGGCCACAGCTGCCCCCTGGTGGACCACGTGCAGGACCGTGACACTGCAGACTGCACCCTGCTGGGACTCAGGCCTGTAAGCCGGGTGTAATCTCCAAGCTAGAGGAAGACGCAAAGCCCTGGCAGGTGCAGTGAGAAGCCCAAGACCCCAGGTGTGGTGCTGTCCCCTGGTAGCTGGGCAATGAGGGGGCCAGCGAGTCCCAAGGCCTGGCCCAGAAAGTCCAGAGCAGGCGCAGCCCAGGGTGCACTTCCTCCTATGAGGACCGTGGTCCCGGGCCTGAATACATTGTTAAAATTTATTTTTGTCTTTTTGAGACAGGGTCTCACTATGCACTTCAGGCTGGTCCTGAGCTCACTTTGTAGCCCAGGCTGGTCTCTAACTTGCAAAGATCCTCCTGCCTCAGCCTCCCGAGTGCTGAGATTACAGGCATGCACCATCATGCCCATCCTTTTTTTAGTTTTTAAAAAATACTTGAAAAGAGGTGAGAATTTTAGTCCAAAGGGACATTCAGGAGGCATCCGTATACTAAATTTCTTGCTATCATTGATGAAACAATAACCTACTTTTGTTGCATGTCACTGAATATGCTCAGCAAGTGATATTCTGGGTTTGAAAATAATAACGAAGAAACAAAGGACAGTACGTGGGTTCAGGTGGTCGTGCCGCCTTCCTGGCACTTTCTGCCACCATTGCGGGCACTGCCGCCCCAGCCCCCAGCCTGTACATGTCTCAGCCCCTGGGGACCCTCAGCTCTTGGGGCTGAGTGGCCAAAGAGGCAGCCTAACAGGAAAGGAGTCACCTTGAGCCAAAAGATAGATGTATTCTCTTGGTTTTAGGCAGGCTGTATCCAGTCACTTGGGGGCTTAGTTTTCATTCTCTATAAAATGGGAACGACAACATTGGGAATAAGGGGAACAGCAGTTTTGCCTAACGTACAAAACTCAGGGAAGAAATAGCTACATCTTCCTGCGGCCTCTTGTGCAAGTGGTTGTGCTCTGCACAGAAAAGGAAATAGTATTGATAAGGATGGCTGCAGTCATAGCAGCGCTCACCCATGGCCCTCTTTTCTATTTTTAAAAAATATTTTATTTTATTTTATTTTTGAGACAGGATCTCACTCTGCAGTTCAGGCTGGCCTCGAACTCACGGCAATCCTCCTGCTTCAGCCTCCCAAGTACTGGGATTGCAGGCATGTGCCACCATGTGTGTAAAGTTTAAATTTTATTTTAAAAAGAAAACTAAAATTTCAAAACAAGATAATAGGGAAATAACAATGATTAATACACTGCATATTGCTATCTGTAAATTAGCTACTCAGAGTATAAGATATAGGCATTTAATTTTCCAAACAATATTAGCACAAACCTTTCTTTTCAATGAATTAAGAGAAATTAGTATAACTATCTTAACTACTGCATATGTATATACATATATATTTGCTCTCCCCTTCCTCCTTTACTCCTTCCCCCATCCCAGTTTTTGAGCAGTTTCTTCCCATTTCACAATACCTGTTGTACATTTTGGATTTTATTTACTCTTTCGGCTTCTCCCACTAGGGAGACAATACGATGTTTGCACACGCGAGTCTGGTTTATTTCCCTTATGAGTATGGTCTCCGTTGCGCCCACCATGACCCTGTCTCTCACTCCGGCAGGTCGACGCCAGCTCGCTGATCGCGGCGTCCGTGATGGCCGCGCCGGGAGCCTTGGCCCTGTCCAAGTTAGTCTACCCCGAGGTGGAGGAGGCGAAGATCCGCAGCGAGGAGGGAGTGAGGCTGAGCTACGGGTGAGGGCCGCGGGCAGTGTGCAGGGAGTGAGGGAGGGCAGCGAGGCGTGTCCTCCCCCCGTCCTGCTCGCCCATGGCAGCCTTCCTGCTGCCCAGCCTAGGGGCCCTTCGGTCACTGTCCAGGTTGTCGCGGGGTTGTTTTGCTTTGTTTTGTTTTTTGTTTTTGCAAAAGCACAGACTTCAGTTTTCGCCTGTTAACCTCCATCTCTGAGAAAGCAGGAGACCGGGGTCTGGACTAGGCACGGGGGAATGATCAGGCTCCTGGGGGTGCGGCGTGTGGGGGGCGGGTGTTAAAGTGGGTCCCACAGGTTCCAGGTCACTTCTCTGCACCTCTGAGGTCTGACCGCCAGGTGGCACCCGCACACTGATATGTGGAGTTCTGTCCTCAACCTGCCTTCCTCAGCCGTAGGGTACCGTTCTATCCTTCAAAATGCTGAAAAGAGCCAGGCATGGTGGCACTCGCCTGTAATCCTAGCATTCCTGAGGCTGAGACAGGAGGATCTCAAATTTGAGTCCAGCCTGAGCAACTTAGTAAGACCCTATTTCAAACTAATAAAAAGCTAAAGGGCTGCAGATGTAATTCAGTATGAAGACCCTAGGCTTAATTCCCAGTGCAATCAATCACTCAGTCAATCAATTGCTGAAAAGTTTTCACTTTGAACCAATGTGCTTGGGGTCACAAAGAGTAACCCTATCCTCCTGGCTGTAAGAGCAGTGCTTTATTGTGGAAAACAGACCCTGAACTGTGTTACATTTTCCAGTCTCCATCTTTAAAAAGTAAAAGAAAACAAGTGGTTCCAATAAAATATTTTACTTAACCTAATATAGCAAAATACTGTCATTTCATCATGTAATCAACATAAAAAGGATGACAGAGATACCTCACAGCCTTTTCTAACTTGTACTAATCCTTACAATCTCTTCTTTAGGCCAGGCGTGGTACCACATGCCTGTAATCCTATCACTCAGGAAGCTGAGGCAGGAGGATTGCCATGAGTTGGAGGCCAGCCAGGTTACATAGTGAGTTCAAGGCTAGACTGAACTACATAGTGAGGCCCTGCCTCAATAAATAAAACAAAACCAAAAATCTCTTCTTTATTTTACACCAACAACACAACTCAACTTGGACTAGCCTCCTTCTCAGTGGGCAAAAGCCATACATGGCTAAGGGCTTCTCCCACTGTGGGGCTGGAGATCACTCTGTGTGTGTGTGTGTGTGTGTGTGTGTGTGTGTGTGTTACTGGGGACCAAACTCAGAGCCTTCACACTGAGCTACAGCTACAGCTACAGCTCTTTTTTATTTATTTTGAGACAGGGTCTAAGTTGTCCAAGCTGAGCTCAAACTTGTGATCCTCCTGCTTCATCCTCCCAGAGCCTCCTAGAGTGCTGGGGTTATAGGCATGCACCACCACACCCGGCAGGAGAGCCTGTCTTAACGCTGTTCTCCACCTTGATCCCTTCTCTCTTCAGACCTCAAGGGATGACAGGGACACTTGGGTCCTGAGATGCTCTGTCTAGGGTTCCTCTGGGAAACCCTCCGATGGAGATCTTGCTGTGTGGGGAACGCCAGTGACGGCGGCTCTCGATCCTCACTACAGAGACGCTCAGAACCTTGTAGAAGCCCTCAGCAGCGGGGCCGCCACCTCGGTGAGGGTCGTTGCGAACATCGCCGCCAACCTAATCGCGTTCCTGGCTGTGCTGGCCTTCATCAACGCGGCGCTGTCCTGGCTGGGTACTCTGGTGGACGTCCCGGGGCTCAGCTTCCAGGTGTGGCTCTCGGGAGGTGGTCTGGGCCAAGGAAGGCTGGAGACCCAGCAAGCACCACCTGCCGTAGTGCTAGCCCTCCTCCCCCGTGTCCTAGCTCATCTGCTCCTACATCCTGCGGCCAGTGGCCTTCTTGATGGGTGTGCCCTGGGAGGACTGCCCGGTAGTGGCCGAGCTGCTGGGGACCAAGCTCTTCCTGAACGAGTTCGTGGCCTACCAGGGGCTGTCCGAGTACAAGCGGCGTCGCCTGGCTGGGGCTGAGGAGTGGATCGGTGCCAGGAAGCAGTGGATCTCGGTGAGTGTCTCGTCCCCTCCCTGCGGCTGCTCCTAAAGGGTCTGCCAGCCGCTTTCCTGGCTCCCCAGGCCTGGCTGGGACGGGCCGGTCCAAAACTATTGTTGCGACTTGTTGGACTCTCGATAATCCTCAGGGGAAAATGGCAATGGGAATGAGGAAAAGATAGACAAGAGATAAGAGCTGGGTCAGGTGGAAGTCCTCTGTCTCCTGAGTGGAGGAGAAGAACTGCCCAAGCATGGTAGAGCATTTATTTGTACCCTCGAGAGGTTGCTGTCGATCTTGCCCTCTCTACCCAGCAATCAGTTAACAAGGAGCAACAGCTTGTTTACGTGCTTCGAGGAGCTCCCGGTGTTCTCTGCCTGGCTTTGTCCCGCAGGTGTCATTTCCAGCTTCAGCCACTCCCAACACTGTATCATCTGGGGACACTGGGCAGCCTTGGGCCCTGCTGCCATCTCCCTGAGGCCTCTTGTTTGAAATCCCTGGGCTGCAGTCGCTGTGGCCTCAGCCCAGCTGCTGGCCCTGCCTCTTGTATAGGACGTGGGTGTAACACGTGCCATGGCCGCCCAAGGAGACTGCGAGTGTCCGGAGATCATCTAGGACAAAGGGGCGAGGACAACCCAGGCACTCTATATATTCTTCCTAGGTAGCCCCCACCCCAGCCATTTTGTACATACAGCTTTGTTTTTCAGCACAGATTTTACATGAAATCTTTTTCTTTGTGATTTCTTCTCTTATTTCTATACTTAGGAAGTTATTCGGTAAGTATTAATTTCCTGAAACAATGTAAGGAAGTAGTTAAGACGTTGGGCTTGGGAGTGTGACAGAACTGAGTTCAAACTCTGTCAGCCACCGCCTACTGTGTGAACTTCCTCGGTCACTTGACCACTCAGAGCCGCTATTTGATCCTTTCCAAATAGTGCCACCACATTACCTTGTAACCAGAATCATTGCTGTTCTGTTTTCTATCATTTTAGGCTGACCATGTTCTAATGACCTAGAATTGATTCTATATATGGGGTGAGGTACAGATCTGAGCCAATTTTTTTTTTTTTTCAAATTGCTCCATTGGGCTCTTAAAACTTCTTCCTGGGAAATTAAACAACTGTTCAGAGAAAACTTGGGGGGGACCACCCTGTTTAATCACCTGCTGTGGGCCTGGCAGTTCCCGCACATCACACGCTCCTGTAGGACTGCCTGCCGGTGTTTCCCTTCCACACTCTGGCCCATGAAGCCTACAGAGGCCACTGACTTGCTCAAACTGAGCATAGCAGGGTGACTGAAAACTAAGGTGAATGTTTAAATGTTAAAAATGTTGCTGTAAAAGACACATTGCCATTAATCCCCTCCAAACAGACCCCCTCACTTCAGCCACACTCATCCCACCATTCTTGCCACTTTCTGAGACAGCTCTGGAAGTCCTCTTTCCTGAGGGTCTTTAGTTGCGCTGTCCTGGTTACTTCGATATTACCCTTTTGTGCTCATTTTGACTCTGGGGAACAGCCAGACATCACACAGTGCCAGATCCGGTGTGTGGGGTGAATAAGGACACAGCATGATGTTTTAAAAAGTCTGCTTTTCCGTTGGATGGCCTTTGGCTGCAGCTTTCACTGTATTTTTATTACAACTCATAAAGACACTCACAAAAGAAGACTTCCAGAGCTGCGTTAGCAGGTGGCAAGAATAATGGGATGAGTGTGCTCAAAGAAGGGGTAGGATTTAGATTTGGGTTAGTGGCAGTGTGTCTTTTGCTATAATACTTTCGTTTGTTCCACTGTAATATATTGTTAAAATGTAACCCATGCCTGTAATCCCAGCACTTGGGAGGCTGAGGCAGGAGGATCGCTGTGAGTTTGAGGCTAGCCTGGGCTAGCTAGTGAATCTAGGCCAGCCTGAACTAAAAATCAAGATCTTATCCCCAAATAAATAAATATAAATAAAAAATAAAGTGTAACCATTCACCATGTATCTCAATCCCCCCTTGTGGGTGGGGATGAGCCGGGCAGGCAGGCTGGCTGGGCTCCCTCCCTCCGGGCCTACATGGGCTTCAGTGGGGAAGCCGTTGCCAGTACCCCCGGCAGAGGCTGGGCATGGGCGGCCGCATCACCCCCGCGCAGGGTAAAGGGAGGGCAGCAGAGGGCGCTGTGTTCTCGAGGGGTGAAGCTGGAGCCCACTAGACCTGGGAGGGCAAAGGCGGGGGTGTCACAGAGACACGGAGGTCGGGCACAGAAGAGGGGAGGACTGCGGCCGGAGCCGGGTGGTGTGGGTCCCCCTCTCGCCCCTCCTTGCCACCACCGTATCCTCAGGTCCGAGCGGAAACCCTCGCCACGTTTGCCCTCTGTGGATTTGCCAACGTCAGCTCCATCGGCATCATGCTGGGCGGCCTGAGTGAGCGCTGTGCGCCCGGGCGGGCGGTGGGCACCGGGACCTGGCAGGGGAGGGGCGGTGGGCCTCCTCTTCCAGGGAGCCTCTGAGCTTGCACCCGCTCGGGGCGGGAGATGCCATGGGGAGGAGACGAGAAGTCACGAGTGGCGCCACGCGGGGCGGAGCGGTGGGAGGCAGCGCCTCGCGGGCCCTGAGCGCTCCTGTCCCCTGCAGCCTCCCTGGTCCCCGAGCGGAGGAGCGACTTCGCGGGGCTGGTGCTGCGGGCGCTGTGCACGGGGGCCTGCGTGTCCCTCGTCAACGCCTGTGTGGCAGGTGAGGGTGGGCCTGGTGGTCCCCGCGTCCAGGTGGCTCCGGGCACCGCCTGCAGCAGCCGTCCCTCCACAGGCATCCTCTACGCGCCCAGGGGACCCGAGGCGGCGTGCGGGGGCCTCCTGAACCGCACGCTCAGCAGCAGCAGCTTCGAGGTGTACCAGTGCTGCCGCAGGGCCTTCCAGAGGTGAGGGCGCGTGGTCGGGAACCCGAGTGCAGGTAGAAATGTCCGGGCTGCAGCCATGGTGGCCAGGGCAGGAGGAGAAGGTGTGAGGGCCCAATCTGGGGAGGAAGGGTGGACCAGAGACACCAAGCAGCCCTCCCAAGGCTGCACAGCCTGGAGTTTCTCCAACAGCAGAGGTGGCCTGGAGCTCACACCACACCCTCCGTTTTTTCAGCACCAGCCTGGAGTTCAGCCCAGCCGCGAGGGACAACTGCTGCCGGTTTTACAACCACACGGTCTGTGGCTAGGGGCCACGGGTTTTTTTTGGCCCCTTGCGGGGTTTTTTTCCCCGGTTTCTTTTCCGCCCCTTCTTCTGCAGTTCCCGGGGCTTGGTTCCCCGAGTGCCGCAGGTGGGAAGGACCCCAGCCCTCCCTGCGCCCCATTTCCTCTCTCCCCAAACGTGAGTTCTTACGGTCTGTCTGGCCCCGCGCAGGGGCTCTGAGCCTTCCCTCGGGTCATGGGCGTCACACCTGAGGCCTCCGCCCTTCCAGCTCAGTCTCCTGGTGCCCCAGCCCGGAATCAGCGGCTTTGCCCCTTGGAGGCTGCTCCTGGAGACCCCTTGCCATCTGGAGACGCCCCCTGCTGCCCCAGCACCCAAGCTGGTGTCATGGGACATCACGTGTGAGGTGTTCGGAGCATTCCACAGCCCACAGGCTTGGAGGAGGGTGGCCCCAGTAAAGGGTGACGCTGTTAGGGTTTCCCTTCCTTTCCTTTATCTTTTCTTTTCTGCAGTATTTGGGTTCAAACCCAGCACTCCACCGCTGAGCTACATCCCCAGCCTAGTTTGTTTTTACTTTTGTTTCTTTTTTGAGACAAGGTCTGGCTCTGTTGTTCAGGCTGGTCTTCAATTCACTATGTAGCCCAGCAGTGATCCTCCTGCCTCAGCCTCCTGAGTGCTGGGATTACAGGTGTGCACCACCACACTCGGCCTGAGTTTGCTTTTGTTTTTACTGCAGACTTGACTGTGTTTGATCTGAGTATATGCCTGCCCGTTTTATGTTGCTCTCTTAGTTGAAGGTTTCACGGGATATCACTGGGGAAATGCTGGTCAGTGTTCCGGCTGCCTTATGTGACTGTGATACTAGCAGTTTCTCACAGAGCCCTGTCTCACTTTGTTAAGCTTTTGCTCAACCCTCTCACCTCAGGCCTGTGAGGTCAGCACTGTTGGTATCTTGAGGTGAGGAATCAGAGGCCCAAGAGGATGAAGAACTTGCCCAAAGTGACACTGCTAGAGAGAGGAAGGGGCAGGATTTGAACCCAGAGCACCCAGTTCCAGCCTGTGGTGTTTCCTTCTACAGGGGGCCGTGAGTGTGGGAGGTGACTGGCCTTCTCTCCCAGCCCTCTGCCCAGGAGGTCCTCCCCTGCGTCTGTTTGTAGTTTCACCAGCTTGTCCTCTGGGTCTCCACGTGAGTGCTGCTCCTGTCCTGCAGCTCCGGCGGAGGTGACGCCCATGCACCCTGTCTCTGTGGGCCCTGGGCACCTGCACCTTGAGCCCACCTGCCACCTCTGACTTCCTTCCCGTGCAGAGGGAGCCCAGGGCCCGGGTGGCAGCAGGTCCCACTTCCGCTCTACGTGGCCCCAGCTCTGCAGGGTGGAGGCTCGGCCTGACTCATACACTGGGTCAGGCCTTTACCCTGTGCCCTGCGCCCCTACCCTGGACATCCAAGGCCTCCCAGCCCTTCCCTGCCTGCCTGTCGGCCTTGGTGCCACCCACTGGGCATGGAAAGTCCAAGGACACTCTGTCCTCCCCTGGGCTCCCTGCCCACTCCTTGTGTGGAAGACTAGAGCTCCTGGGCACAGGACTCAGGAGGCGTCAGGTTTCTCACAGCACCTAGGGCAGTGCTCAGCGTGTGAAAAGGGCCAAGTGTCTGTGGAACTGAACTGCAGCATCTCTCAGAGGCCCCAGCATGCAGACCTCACCTATGTACACAGACTGCACTTCTGACCTGGGAGACAGGCAGAGTTAGGGGCACCTTAGTCCCAGCGCTGCAGATTTCCCCTCTCCACACCCACCACACTCCGTCCTCCTCCTGTACTCTTGGGAGTCAGGGCGCAGATATGCACTCCTCAGATGTGCATGTATTCCTTCATCCTGGGCAGCAGCTCCTAAGTCAGGTTGACACCCCCACCGCTTCCACAGCCATGCCAGGCATTGCTAATCAATCACAGCACTCTTCTCTTTGTTAACCTGATGCAGGAGAGGTCTATCACCAAGTGGCTGAAGGTGCCTTTTGAGGAAAAAAGAAAATATTTGCTATCCTTGTGCTAAGAAATAGACTCAAACTGCCGCAGATGCTACCTTGCTGGCCTGGGAGGGTCTGGCATTCTTGTCAACAACTGTAGAAATTAAAGGGGGTGGGAAGCACCACAAAGAATGGGGTCTGTGTATGTGCATGGTCTTATTTTACAGTAGAATGTGTTATGAACTGTGTCTCCCTGGATTCCTGTTTCAAAATTGTGTTGAGAGGTAGGCTGTCTGGGAGATGATTAACTCGGAGGATGGAGTCCTTGAGAATAGACCAATGCCCTCATAAAGGAGGCCCCAGGGAGGCCCCTGCCTCCATGAGCGGTTAGGGTGATGAGTTACCGTCTGAAAGCTGGAAGAGTGTCCTGACCAGAATCTGACCGTGCTGCTATGCTGACCTTGGACTTCCAACCCCTAGAACTCTGGGAGATAAGTTCCTGTCGTGTACAAGCTGCTCAGGTTGTGGAATTTTGTTGTAGGCTGAACTAGCTAAGACAGAGCCTCACCCGCATGACCTCATCCTGACCTATTACCTCGCAGAGGCTACACTGGGATCTCAGTTCAGTCCACTGCACCTGCTGTGTGCCAGGTTCCATCTAACCTAGGCATGGGGGAACAGCCCTGAGCTTACCGCAAGGAGCTAGAGGACTGAAATCTTCCTTAGAGAAGAGACTGGGAAGAGATGGCCACAGAGCCACCTGCAGTGAGCAGACCTGAAGAGGAGGCAGGGGGACAAGGTCCCCAGCAGAGCTTCTCAGGTGTCCAGTGGTGGTCCTCTAGGGGTTCTTTTTGAGGCTGTTTGCATATTACGAAGTTAGAACAATGCCAGAGTAGGATTGCACATATTATAGTTAAAGAATTACATGTTTTAACGCAGAATACAATGTTGGGTTGCCTACAGAACAATGATAGGATCTTTTTGTTCATCTAAAGCCCAATTTAATAATAAAAACACCATTTTTATTTATAACAAATATACACAGCAGGCATGGTGACACATACCTGTGATTCAAAGCTGAGGCAGGAGGATTTCAAGTATGAGGATAGTGTGGGCAACTTACCAAGACCCTGTTTCAAAATTTAAAAAAAAATTTAAAGGACCAAAGATGTAGTTCAGTGGTAGAGTTCTTGAGTTCAATCCACAGCATCGTAAAGAGAAGGGAACTTTGCGTATTTTTGTATAAACGGGTTTCTCTTGGAAACGTGTGGAGTCTCCGTTCTTTGGTATTTAGTGTAATTACAATCAATGTTCAACTTTTACTTATCATTTTAAATTGAGTCTTTTGGGAGTCCAGCAGTGCGCTGCTTTCAGTCCAGCGACTCTGTGAGTGATTTCGTCGGGAAACTTCCCCTTAGGGTTGTCAGAGATGAGCTTGGTCTGCCCTGTAGATTTCAGACTTCCGACCTCCAGAACTGTGCTAAAAAAAAATCCTGAACTGCACAGCAAGACCCTGTCTCAAAAAGACCAAAAACAAAAAAAAAAATTCTGTCGTTTCAAGCCACCGAGTTTATGGCAGTTTATTCTGGCAGCCCTAGGTGACCAATATAGATATCTTAAATGGGATCCTGGAACAGAAAAAGGACATTAGGGAATAACTAACAAATCCACATAAAATATGGAGTTCGATTAATGTCACGCTGATATGCATTTGTTCATCACAAAAAGGTACCATAGGGTCTAAGTCTGTTTGGCCTGCTATAATGAAGTGTCATAGGCGGGGCAGTTTATAAACAACAGAAATTTATTTCTCACAGTCCTAGAGGCTGAGATGTCCCTGGTGAAGGTGCAGGCTGATCCCATGTCTGGTGAGGACCCCTTTCTCGTTGACAGTCACCTTGCTGGGTCCTCCCGGGAAGAACTCCTCTTCCCTGAGGGCCGCTAATCCCCTCCATAAGGCGTTTGCCCTCAGGACCAAATCACCTCCCACAGGCCTCACTTCTAAATACCTTAAGCTTGGGGTTAGGATTTTAGCATAGGAATGGGGGATGAGAATAAACATTTAGACCCGAAGCACACAGTGATGTGACGTGTTTAATGACAGAGCAAACTGGCTGTGGGCTGTATAGGAATTTGATATTATTTGTGCAATCTTGCTGTAAATCTAAACTATGCTAAAATGTAAAAATTTATATTAAAAATTGCATAGGGAAAAAGCCCTGTGATCCACCCCAGGAACAGTGCTGGCTCCCAGCAGGAAGGTACCAGGGCCGGGAGTTGACTATCTGCCCATGGCCTGGGTCTCACCTCTCCTGTCCCTCCCTTTAATTCGAGCTTGTGCCTTTGGCTGAATATTGATGAGCTGTGATCTTTTTCCAAACACATGCGGAACATCGTGTGCTTGGATTGACTGCTGATTCAGAACCAGCAAGACCCGAGTCTGGACGGGACCCTGATCACCAATTGGAGGGGGCTGCCCCCACCCTGGCCTTTCTGAGAACCTTCCGCCCACAGCATGGAGGACGTCTGTCACCACATTTGTATGTTTGAATCATGAGACTCTTCAGGGTGATTCACTGATTGAACTAGCGCAAGGACAAGTCCATGTTCTCGCCAATATCCTCTCAGATTCCTGAGAAAGAATATGAGTGATGAAACCCAGAAGCGGAGCGGAGAGCTGAGTCACCACCCTGGGGCTGTCTCCGAGCTGAGCTCATGCCCACCCTTCCTGCGGGCCAGTTGTCCAGCTTCGCTTGGGATCTGATGAGAGCTGCCTTTTTTCCAGAAAGCTCCTTTAACCTGAGCTAATTTGGAAGGTTGCTCTTTGTAATCAAAAGGACATTGCTTAGGACGACCGCTTTGTCACACGTCCCCTCATTTTGCTTGGGATAAAGAAGCTGTCCACTGTTTGCTTAAATCCCATCAGAGATAAGGCCTTATTCCCTCTCTATGCCATCAGTTTCATTACAGAGTTCTCCTTTTTGGAATTCTTTTTTTTAAATTTACATCAAAAAGTGCTTCCTTTTGCCCTTCTGGGCCCTTCAGATGTGTCTGCTCATGCTTTGTTATTCTTTTTCCTACTTG